CAGCTGAAAAATGTAGCTTTGGGTTGACTGAAACATTTTGCAAATTTGTGCCAATTTAGAAAAATTGAGATGGGGGGGAGGTGGGGTGAAAGTGAAAAAATGAACCATTTCAACATTTCCAAAACAAAACATTTTAATTTTTTGGACTAGATTCACAAGGGGATTCAAGTGCCATACACAAAAACAACATAGGGTTGCCATGCCTCCTTAATAGGCCAGTGCTCAGGTCTGTCACCTGGGATGTAGGACAACTTGGTTCAAACTCTTTCCTCTTCTCCTTCTTGCTTTTGAACATCCAGGAAATTGAAAAATCAGTGATTCATGCAACTCGAATTAGATGGCACCTACCCCTTGCTGTTAGGGACAATGCAGCACTGCTCTGTGTTTATACACAGTGACCAAGAAGTCTGTATGCACACATCTTGTCTTCCTTCTGGCTAAACACAAAATTAACCAGTAGGAGCAGAAGTAGCCAAAACAGGGACCAATTCACTAGGGGGGAGGGGTAAAATGCGGCCCAGATGGGGCTACTCCTCCCCCCCAACAGCCCTCTGCACCCGTGGCCCAGAACTGCACAAGGGAGACCCTGCCTCATGAGGCTCACTAGGATCCCAGCAGTGCCTCCCCCCCCACCGTGTGGCTTGGAGGAGAACTACAGAGAGGAGCAAGCTAGAGACTCCAGCCCGTAGGAACAGAAGCAGCCCAGGCAGGGATCGCTGGACATTGCAGTCAGACCTGTAAAAGTCTCTCTCTGCCCTGTGCTGACAGGCTGTTTGCTCCAACCCTACCCCTCCCTCCTCACAGTCTCTATGACCCCCCTACACAATAACCTTGCAACCCCCCCCCCCCCCCCCCCCCACCCCCCCCCCCCCCCCACCCAAACCCCCCTTCCCCCCCCCCCCCCCACACACACACACAACCCCTTTTTGGGTCAGGACCACTACAGCTACAACACTCTGAAATTTCAGATTTAGATATCTGATATCTTGAAATTTACAATTTTTAAAATCCTGTGACCGTGAATTGACCAAAATGGACTGTGAATTTGGTAGGGCCCTACCCATGTTATATTGCAAAAGGACATGAATCCTTTAACACAGGTCTAAATTTCTCTACTAATACAGACAATGCTTGTTTACAGTATACCTAAAGAAGCTTGGACATAGTGGGATTCTCTATGTTAAGTGCTGTTCGTAGTGGTGGTGGTATTACATTGTTAGCTTTTTATTTTAACTGCTGTTATGGAACATTATTATTGCCTAGATTTCTCTACCCTCTCCCTCCCCACAGGCTAATAAAGATCTAAAAATGAAAGTAGCCCAAGTGTTGGTCCAGGGTCCTAGATAGACAAGGTGGGAGAGAGATTATCTTGTATTGGACCAGCTTCTGTGGTGAAAGAGACCAGCTTTCGAGCTTACATAGAGCTCTTCTTCATGTCTTGGAAATGTACTCGGAGTGTACTCATAGCCTCATACAAGGTGGAATAGATTGTTTGGCATAAGAAAGGTGGGGGGAAAACTGGGGGGAGGAGTTAGTGGGTTATAGCTTATTGTAATAAGCCATAAATCCAGTGTCTCTACTCAGTCCATGATTTTTTGTGTTTAACATTTACAAATTTAAGCTTCCAGGCTCATCTATTGAAGGGGTTGTGCAGTTTTTCCTCCTTTTTTCCCTATGATTGGAGAGGCTAACCCTAACCCTGCGTTTTTCCTCCTTTCCCCCATGAGTGGAGGGGTATTAAGTAGCCACTTTACCTTAAATAGTCCATTGAAATAGGTTGTATGCTGTGTTGTTGTAGCCATGTTGGTCCCAGGAATTAGAGACACAAGGAAATATTGAAAGGTATGTTAACTACTTATGCTAAACAATCTGTTCCACTTTGTATTTAGCTGTGACAATAAGCATGTTTCCCAGACATGAAGAAGGGCTTGTCTTTATTACCGGGGTAAGTTGACCTAAGTTACACTACTCCAGCTACGTGAATAACGTAGCTGGAATTGACATAGCTTAGGTCGACTTACCCCAGTGTCTTCACTGCACTGCATTAACAGGAAACACTCTCCGGTCAACTTACCTCAGGCTACGTCTACGCTACCGTGGTAAGTTGACCTCTGCTATGCAACTCCAGCTACGTCAATAACGTAGCTGGAATTGACGTAGCTTAGGTTGAGTTACCGTGGGGTCTTCACCCCAGAGGGTCAACGGGAGAAAAATCTCCTATCAACTTACCTTACTCTTCGCGTCGGGGGTACAATACAGGGGTTGACTGGAGAGCCATCTGCAGTCAATTTGGTGAGTCTTTACTAGGCCTGCTAAATCGACCGCTGGTGGATTGAGCTCAGAGCATCTATCCCTACTGTAGTGTAGACCTGCCCTTACTCTTCTCGGGGAGCTGGAGTACCACAGATGACTGGAGAGCGCTCTGCTGTTGATTTAGGAGGTCTTCACTAGATCTGCTAAATCGACACCCACTGCATCAATTGCAGCAGCATTGATCTCCCCAGTAGTGAAGACAAGCCCAAAGAGCTCTGTGTAAGCTTGACTCTCTCACCCACAGAAGTTGGTCCAATAAAAGATAAGTGACAGCTTAGGTGTTTTATTACTTCTTCAGTTCTTTGATTAGGGAGAAAGCCACCTCAGCCCTTTGGGTGCAATAATAGGCAAGCTAATGCTACACTATCTCCTGGATCTCTTTCATAGGTCACTCTAATTTAGAGGTGGGCCAACTTTTTGGCCCGAAGGCCACATCTGGGTATGGAAATTGTATGGTGGGCCATGAATGCTCATGAAATTGGGGGTTGAGGTGCGAGAGGGAGTGACAGCTATGGCTGGGGGGGCAGGCTCTGGGGTGGGGCCAGAAATAGTGAGTTCAGAGTGTGGGAGGGAGCTCTGGGTTGGGCTGTGGGTGGGCTCCAGCTGGCAGTGCAGGAGGTGGATCAGGGCTGGGGCAGGGGCACTGGATGGGGTCAGGGGTGTAGGCAGCACTTATCTCAAGCAGCTCCTATTGGCCACTGTTGCCGGTCACTGGGAACTATACTTGGGGCAGAGGCAGCGTGCAGAGCTCCCTGGCTGCCCCTACGCATCGGAGCTGGAAGAGGGACATGTTGCTGCTTCTAGGAGCCGCCCGGAGCCACAGCACACATGGAGCGGGGCAAGCCCCAGACCCTGCTCCCCCGCAGGATCTTGAGGGCTGGATTAAAATCCCCATAGTTTATCCTCCCCTGCTCTAATTGCAGTAGACCACACCCATCTTTAACTGGATCAGTCTGTCCTAAAGACAAGAATTGCACATATAACAATAGCCAGTAGGATGTCCGGGAAGAAACATTTTATTATGGTGAAGTTTTACATTAAAAGAATGCCCTTTGTACATTTTTCTAAGGGAGTTTAACAGTTAAAAAACAGAAAAAATATGCTGTTTTCTTTCAGTATATGTTAATGGAAGATTAACAAAGACTTGGGTAATTGTGCCAGTGATGTGTTTATTAGCCACCCATTTTACTGGTGGCTGCATAAAGACCGATATTTGCTAAACTGAGACAGGCTTAAATGGACTTCAGCACTAGTCTATGACAAATTTATTATGTCAGTGACAGCTATGTAAATGTTTTAAATACTTAGTTGGGTATAGTAGGAGTTGCTTATATACACAGTTTATGAGAAGGCTTCAAGCTAGACACATTCAGTGCAACTTGGGAAGGCTAGCGGGAGGCAAAAGTCAATGTTAGTACAATTTTTCCATTTATACTGGTCAGTGGGACAGAACAGTATGAAGGAAAGTTCATGTTACCATCGTAGGATTAGCAGCTGATGGAACCAGCCAAACCCCCCTCCACTGTCATGTTGTGTGAAGTGTCAAGGATATCTCTGCTCTCAATAGTAGAGGCTGCACATTCCATCACCCAGCTTTCATTAAAAGTGACTTTGTCTCTCAGGCAACATAACTGCCAGCCAATATTTTAGTTGAGAACACAAGTCCTATAGAGAGATATTCAGAAAGCTTCTATTTACGGCCCAGATTTTCTAGGGAGTTGGACACTAAACTTCCATAAGAAGTAGGGTTGCCTAGCTCTACTAAGATGCTTTAGTGTATACCAATGCTAGTCCACAGGTATGTAGAACTAGAGACTTGAAGTCTGGCCTTTGCAGGGAAGTTACAACTTTTTTAAAAAAACAAAAACAACAATGGAAGGATGGGTGTGGGGGCTGTGCAGAGCTGAGAAATTTGCTGATGCCATATGCATCCATATCCCTCATTTGTAGTTTCTAGCAATTGGTTAGTTTGCCTCTGCCCTTCTTTAAATGAAAGCTTGGTATTAAGTTTCAGTTATTCATAGGGTGCCAATTGAAGAGCTTAATGTATCAGATCAGAGGCAAGCTGCTATTAGGCCTTTTAGACTGCATACACTGTTAAGTACCATTCTCAATATGAGGCCTTTCCTTACCTACATCACATTCTCATGTAGGTAAAAAGAACCAAAGGTTGAGCTCAGCTTTAGAATTTATTTAGCTTCTAACCTATAAACAAGGATAATTAAGTACTAAATAACCCTAGCCCAGGCCAGTAAACTTGAAAGTTTTCAGTATGTTACTCTAGCTCACACTAATACTTAGTCACTCTCTCTCCTCCCACTAAGCCAGGCAGTCACAGAGGACTATGAACTGCACTCTAGAGTCAGAACTCTCTACCACTCTGTTTTTGGAAGCATGCGACCACAAACAAGTTAACTGTAGGATAGAAGTGCCATGAGCTTACTGACAAGATTACTTGCTGCCATAATTTGTGACTGCAGCCAAATAAAGATAGTGGTGCTGTGCTGTAGAAGTTGACAGAACACTATGTATAAAACACCTGTGCCATTCAGCTTCAGTTACTGAACTTGAGTATCTAATCAATGTGACCTATTCAGAGTTCAGTAGAAAAGGGCAATTCTTTAATATCAGTACATTTGTAGCTGTTCAGTTGAAGCCAGGGTATGGACTCTTCTTTCCCTCAAGGCTCACAGGTTCACTCCCTCAGAGCTACCCTGAGATCTTGGTACACCCTGCTGGGTAGTCTGAGACTCATGTGTGGTCTCTGTGGATGCCTCTCCTGCTGCCCTGCTTAAAGAGAAAGAGCTTTTAATTCTGATGCGGGTTTCTTAAGCTATAGGCCAGTCACACGACTGATTTGGAAAGATTAAAGCATCACTTATCACCAAGCTTGATAAAAACCTACCCATCTTTTTTAGATGATTGTTTGCTCTTCAGTTATTGCATCTAGGACTTAATCCTATACCGTTTAGTCCAAAAGTCAGGCAGGATTCATGGCATGCAAGACAAGGACTTTAAGACAGCAGTTCTAAGAATGAGTTTCTCCCCTCCCCCCCATTAGAAAAACAGTGACAGTGTCAAGGTTTTTAAGCTACCCCCTATGTAAGTTAGGGGAATTAACTCTTCGGGTAACTCTAAGCCTCACAGGGCCTAAGTTTGATCCTTGATTACTAGTTTTCCCCCCTCTAATAAGTCAAGAGGCCATTCACAGAAGCTGAAACTGACAGGAGTCTACTCAAATTGTTATTCATTGCAGAGTGACAGTTGTCATTTGCAGCTCTTGGAAGGCAGGAAGAACCAATGCCCAAGTAACCATCCTTAGCAAGTGCAGCATTTGGTCTATATTCCAGGTCAGTAAGTGATCTCCCCAGCCTCCCTTTAGAACCTTGTACCCAGTTCAAGAGACTGGAAGTTATTCCCATTTTCTCATAGCAAGACCACATTCAGACTGTAAGCAAGTGCAACTCCATGACTTATTGTGCTGCACCCACTTAAGTCAGGTGAGCACTAAGGCCAAGGTTCTAGTTTGCTGCTTTTTTTTTTTTTTATTTAAAAGGACAATTTAGTGTGTAGGAGGGACAGGTCACTAGCTTTCTTGGTCTGTTGTCATGACCCTCCCTCTCAGGGGAAGATACTGATTTTAGGTACAGATACCTGTGCTCTTGATTTTAGTCTCCCTCACAACACTTGTTTATTACACTAGCTGAGAAGCTAGAATTCCCAGCTTGACACATTCATAATGAGGGGTCAGACCAATCATTTGATGGGTTAGACACTTGGTGGTGGTTAGTTCTGCTCTCAGACTGCGAAGTGTAATGGTAACTTACATGACAAAGAAGAATATGGAGGCAAGAAATCCAACAACTAGAAGGAACATAAGAGTGCTTAAGATTGAGGTGATGACAATCATTCCTCCACTCCTTCGCCCAGGCCAGGTATCAATTGTTGAAGCCTGTTTTACTAGGAGAGGTGGGATGAAGAAAAAAAATATTACTGTACATATTTAGAGGTTCCAAGAGACCAGAAAGAGTGGCTATAGACAGCATAAACTAGGGAAGTTAATGGCTCAAGCCTTCCCCACCACAGTATCTGGTGTTACTTTTGAAGTCTATGTACGGCTTGTCTTGGCATTTTAACATCCTTCATTTGAAATCTTGAAGTCCTTTACAGAATTAGTTTAAGCCTCAAAAATACCCCTGTAATAGAGAAATTTACCCACTTTAAATAGGTAAATCACTTAACCTCTCTATGCCTCTTTATCTAGTGACTACAGCAGAGGCAGAAATCGAATCCAGACCTAAGCTCAAACCACTACACAAACCCTCCCCCCATCTTTGTCAAGTTTGAGCTTTTTGTCCTGAGGGCATCAGGGGAGGAGTAGTAGTATTCCAGAGTTACCTCCACCACTTAGCTTTAATGATGCATAACAGTTTTTGGGTCAGAGAGGACTGGAATTTGTTTCTTTAGCCAGCATCTTGGCAGGAAGTGACTAAATGTCCTAAAACATATTTATTTCTTCCCCAAGAGGGAGCAGTTGACCTTGGTTTTTGGTACTTACCCCTACTGGTTTTCATTGGATCAGACCAGAAAGTTTGGTCTTTCACAACACCTGCAACCACATCTACTAAGAGGTACTTAAACCTGGAAGCAGAGACAGGCAGGTTAATCATTCTAGCAGAGGCTTTGACAATCTGGCATATAAACCAATCCAATAGCTGCCAAAAAAAAAAAAAAAAGGAAGACTAGGTAATCTCTTGTCTTAGAGATTAATATAAAAGGGGTGGCTAGCTAGTCCCAAGGTTTTAGAGGGGGAACAGAGGGAGTTAGTACAAAATCCTCTCCCACCTGTCACATTAGATTTTTCAGTTTGTTCTTGAGTGTGCTTGTTAACTGTGCCAGTTGTTGACAGCCTTCCAACAATAGTGTCTCCTAGTTAAATTCAGTATGCTCTATAGTAAATTTCTGGGATGGTGTCCAAAGACTGAGTGTTGCAGAGCTCCCCTGCTACAGGAAAGCATGGAAGAGACAGTCAAGTTACCAGCTGGTGGATTATACTTGAGCAGATGAATAAGAGCTCTGCAGGCACCGAGTCAGAGACACTCAATGGCTTCTACAAGAGCCAGTTAAGACACAAGGTTTAAGGATCTCAATGTAACTTTAAGATAGTCACTTAATTGAGTTTCAACCCAACAGACACACCACCACTGAAGGGCTTAAGCTGCATGGGTGGGGCAGTGAAGGTTATCTTTGCGTTTGGCTGTACTCAGAGCCAGGGCCGGCTCCAGGCACCAGCCCACCAAGCTTGTGCTTGGGGCGGCACCTGGAGGGGGGGGGGCGGCGGCGTGGTGCTCCGGCTCCGGCCGCCGGGGAGAGCGGCGCCGCAGTGGGCTCGCCGCGCTCTGCCCGCCAGGGAGAGCGGGGCCCCGGCCGGGCTCGCCACCCTCCCTCCAGTGCTCCGGCCGGTTGGGGAGAGCGGCCCGCGGCCGGGCTCGGCGCCCTCCCCTGCCGCGCTGGGGGTGGGAGGGGCGCGGTGGGAGGCTTTTTTGCCTGGGGCGGCAAAAAAGCCAGAGCCGGCCCTGCTCAGAGCCACCCTTAATGGAGCATTGAGGGCTCTGTTCCTGCAGTTGAAAGGAACAGTTTCACTATGTTCAATTAGTGCAGTTTGCAAGTAAGTTTTATACCAGGTTAACCTTAGTGTCAAGTGCAAGGACACCCCTATCCAAAAGAGAATTGTGAACTATACCTGTAGGTTGTATCATCGGCAAGAGGTGGGTTACAGGCACCGGGGAAGTTTGGGTCATATAAACAAGTCACATCGTCTCCCACTCTGAAGAGGTATTGTTTCAAGACATCTGAAACTTTTTTCACATTTACAACATCAGCCAGCAGGGGGGGTGATGCACAATTGGGCACATTAAACAATGCAGCCCTGTAAGGTCCAAGTTGTCCTCCGTTGGTGTCTTGGAAAGTGGTGTTGAGAGGTTTGCTGCTGTTGTCAGTCACAGCTGAGTTTACAGTGCTTGCTGCAGGAGAGATTGGATACTTCAGTATAACATTTGTGACACGAGCCCTTCCCATCCACCCACCAACATTGAACCCTCAGCTTTGTCAAAAGGAATTACCCAAACCAACCCACCATGTTCAATTTTAATTTTTAGGGGCCCAACAGACCCTTTCCTTTGCCCCATACCCCTACTACATCACTACCAGTGGGCACAGCAGAGGCCAGAAGAGATACAGATCCAAGACCAGCACTGGTGGTGGGAGGGGAGCATTTTCTGTAGCACTGGTTCTGTCCTGCCAAGCCATGAATCAGTTTACTCTCAGAGGCCTTGTTTGCCTCCATCACAAGGCATGTAAGGAGCACCTGTGCTCTTATCTCCCCTATGCCTGTAGCTGTCTGACAAGACAGCCTGGGGAAAGGAGTGCCTCTATGGGCTGCTCCCCTTCAGCGTGGAGTAAATTGTCAGGGTGTATTGCTCCCAAACAGCCTGAAAAGGGACATCAGGGGAAAGCTGAGGGAGCTTGGAAGGCTGGTTAATTAAACCAGGTCCTCCCTCAAGTGACAAGCCAACAGTGGATCCTGTAGGCTTCCTTCCCAGTGGGTTTTTGGGTCTGTGTAGCTACCCCAGCCCTCTCTGCTCCACTTCTGAGTGGGGGATGGGTGAATCCCTTGCTCTGAGAGGGCTCTAGGTATTCTCACTCACACACAAAGACAGGCGCCGTATGTCCTTCCTAGCATTAGATCAAAAGACTCTCAGGAGGCCCACAGAGGGACAGCTGTCAACACTACAGCTATCAGGAAGGGGCTTGTGGGGACCAACCCAGCAAGCTCTGCTGATGCCCACAAACACTCTTGTACTTGAGCCTCTGCCACTTTTAGTGGGTACAAATGCTCTCATTCCTGCCTCCGTAGGTGTCCCCCACCACAAGAACTGAGGAGCAGCCTCTCAGCACCTTCGGACAGCTCAGTATGTGAGGATGGAACAGAATCCCTCCCCACCCCAGGGCCAAGCTTCTCCTTACCAGTCAATCTTTGGGAAACCCCCCACCTCATCCTCTCCCCTCATAGTGCTGAGGCTCTGACACAGAATGCAACCGCTCCTCTTCTCAGGTCATGCAGCTGCTCTTTGTAACTAGCCCCACCCCACCCCCACCAGTGAATAAACCAAGGAGCAGGGTCAGGACTTATCCCTGCAGGAAGGAGAGGCAGCTGAACCAAACCCTCCGCCTCCCAAATAGTGTAAGGCAACAGTCTGGCCTTTATTCACCCCAGCCCTCTCCTGCCCACCAGGGAGAGAGTCAGTACTGAGAGTGCAGCCACACTAAGGCCCAGCTTTAAGTATTTGATATGTGGTAATGCATTTAAATTTGCCAATCCAGGCCTCCCACCCACCCCACAAGTCACCATGAAGTAGTAGTATGGTAGTTCATGGGCAAGTTCCATCTACCCCATAGTGTAATCCCAGAAAAAAATTCACGTGTCAGAGATTAGTAACAATGTGGGCACTGATCAAGTTAGCATAAAGCCTCACACCTAGTGGGGTTCCCTTCTCAAACATTCAGTAGAGGATCTCTGCACATTATAAAGGCAGAGCGTGTTCCTTTGATAGCAGGGAATAAGCCAAGTACTCCTAGGCTAGACAGGACTATACAATGTACATAAGGTTCTGAGGAAGTTAAATCCATGTCAGTAATGCTTCCCCTCACCCCGTGGGGTATCTTAGCATGATGAAACATGCTGTTTTCTAAGGCAGACACAAACTTTAAAGAAATTGTCCCAGTTCAACAAGTAGTCAGGGAATGTTTCCTCATTTCAATGGCTGAATGCAATTCCTCCAAGCATAAGTTCTTCCTTTGTAGCTGTGCACGTGTTTTATTTATGGAGTGCATGCTATGGAATTTACTGTATGTAGAACGGATAGAGTAGTTTGAGAGGAGTTTCATAACAGATGGCTTTCAAGGTGGAATATTTTGAGACAAGCCAGACATCAGGAAAGTTTTTATAAAAACTTCTACAGATAGTGCACTTCCTGGAGCCATTATGTGAAACAGCTGTGTTTTAGTACTAAGGGCATGTCTTCACTAGCAACGTCAAAGCACTGCCGCAGCACCACTTTAATGTGACTGTGTAGTTGCAGCATAGTACTGGGAGAGAGAGCAGCACTATTAAACAAACAAACACACACATACACACCCCTCCACAAGGGACATAGCTACCAGCACTGGGAGCACAGCGCTGGTGCACTGTCTACACTGGCACTTTACAGCGCTGAAACTTGCAGCACTCAGGGGTGTGTTTTTTCACACCCCTGAGCGAGAAAGTTGCAGCACTGTAAAGTGCCAGTGTAGACAAGCCCCAAGACATCCCATAATACCAGCACATTCACGGGTACTCAGGACAGTTGCGTCTTTTGCAGGAGTTATCTTAAGTATTTAGTCAGAGTTGAGGTTCTTTAGTCATGGGAACTAGGGATGTGCCTGTCAGCTAATTGAATTTCCTGTGCTATTAGTTTGTTACTGCCAGACTTACACAAGGTCTCATTTCCTGTCTCTGATTTGAGGAGAGAAAGAATCTTGTAGCAACTATAGCCTATTATTTGAAACCAACACACACTCTTTGAAGGCTCATCCTTCTTTGCCTAGACTCGAGCCTCCTGAAATTAGCTTGGCTCTGAGGAAGTCCACTTAGCACTCAAGTGTTGCTAAATTGACTGCCCATACAGTTTGCATCCTTTAAACAGCAAAGCTAGAAGCAGCAGCAATCTAAGCTTCCTTTTTACTACCCTCACCAGGAAGTCGCCTCATCTTTTTCTTCATTAGAAAGTGTACTCCTGTTTGAGCAGTCCAGTTAACTCACCTGATGCTAAATTGATCAGAATAGACAAGGACCAGTCATGTGCAACATTAGCACAGTTAGAGCACCCACGACTAGCTGACAATAGTGAACATGCTTGGTTCTTGTCTATGCTGACCAGTCAGCCATAGTCAGTATAATGTCAGCCAACTTCATTGTGATCATGCTGAAGTGCTAGGGCTAAAGTTTTTGTTAAGACCAGTCCTAGCAGAGAACAGAGAACAGGGAACAGACAGTCAATTGGTATAGATCAGCAGGGCTCCATTAAAGCTAGTAGAGATATACCACTTTACACCCTCTGTGGATCTGGCTTTTGTTCTAGATGTACTTTAGCCCTTCTTCTCTTTGCCCTGGCTTCCAATTACAAGTGGACACTTGTCACACACACTGCCAGCAGAAGTGGAGGCCATCAAGTTTTAAAGAATTACATTACATAGCTTCAAAGTGGGCAGGGGAGAGAAAGGAAATCAAGCCAGATACTTACCAGAGTCAGCCATTGCATACAAGTAGACCACATAGGAGCTACCTGGAGACAGTGAATCATCAAACACACAGAATGGTTTCTCTAGAGCAATTGTAGTAAGGGTAGGATTGTTTGTAGCAAGTTTGGGGTTTGCAATCTGAGGCCTCAAATTCTGAGCTAGAAGAGACAGGGAATAGAAAAGTGTAATATTTAATCAGTTGCCCCCTCAGATATAACCACAATGTTTAAATAATAAGACAATTTGAAATGAAAGGTGGGTTTGGACCCTGTACTGGGAATATTTCTGAGCCATGCTCCATCCCTCTCACACCCCACCCTCTTTTCTGGAAAGAGGACAAAGCCACAAGCAATACAGTCACTTCTTGCAACCTCTGGATACAGTTAGTGCTAGCAAGGAACTCAGGGGCAAATCTATTATATCCTCAAGTGGACTAGAGAGCAATTTCAGCAAGTCCTGAGTAGAGGGACAGAGGAGGGTGCGTTCATTCTCTAGGTCTCCTGAATTAGAGGAAAAAAGAAAAGAAGAAAAAAAAAAAAGAGAGAGAGAGCATGAGCACACCCAAGTAGGGATTAGTACTAGACTCCCACACCTCACCCCATCTCCAAGTCTTTCAGGGCAGTACAAGCAACAACCCCTGCAAAAAGCTTTATGCTCAAGACTGAGTCTGGTGACACTTCTCAGCCCCACCCCCCAGTTTCCCGACTACTTCAAACACTGGACCAACTCAGAACAAAGACAAGACTCAGTTTGCTTGGGACTGCTTTATCGCTTGAAGCAAAGCCATTTAAATACAGATTTGCAATCCCTAATCATCCCCGCTCTGCCCCCAAAACTCAGTGGGTAGGGGGAAGACATCTAAAGCCTTTAAATTAAGACAGGGGAAATAAAAAGAGTTCATTGTTTGTGATCACAGACCAGAAAGTGAGGAGACTTGAATCTCAGTGGGAGAGATCACAGGCAGACAGATACCACTTACCCACACACAGCTGCCCCAGCCAGCAAAGAGCTAGCACAACCCAATGGCCCTGCATGCTCAGGCACTGTAGAGAATCCCCCACAAAAACTATGCTAGAGGATAGCTGTTGACCAAAATCACTGCAACAGCTCGTTGCTTTGTATCCTCTGTGCTTGAACTGAACACACCTGAATCTCCTCACCTGCCAGTAAGTAACCTGCAGTGTTGTGCCCTAACTAACCCAACAGCCTCTCCCTCCAGCCAATCAGCAGCTGGCTTTGCAATCCCTCTCTCAGCCTATTTGCATTCCTTCTCCTCCCCACCCACCGGCACACACAAGTGTATCCAGGCTGCAGGTGAAGCAGGGGATAGAGGCCCTGCCCCTGCCCAACACCATCTCTTAAGGCATGGAGAGAGGCACAGTCCATCTCCCACAGGTGCAGCTGCAATGTGTTTCCATCATCCCTTTAAATGGCTTTGGTCCTGCCCCACTGTTTCCCTTTCACACCTGCTAGGAAAGGGGGCTGAGATCATTTGTATAAAGGTGTGGGTTAGAGGTAAGCCTAAGAAGAAGTCCAAATGGAGGGGACTGACTATTTGAATCCTGATTCTGATCTAATTTTTGAAATGGTCCCATCTGAAGCCAAATTCAGAATTTATCCAGCCTGAATTTTGCTTCTTGGGGTTATCTTGTATAAAAAACACAATGGATCTGATTCCTGTTATATTAATGTGAATCAGAGGTAAATTCACTGAAGTCAATGGAATTGCACCAATGGCAAACCAGCGTGAGAGAATTGGACTTGTTTTATTGAATTATTGAAGTGGGAAGATCCTGGACCTTCCTCATTATGTACTGCTGTCATTGATGATATATGGGCTTCTAGCTCTGACCATGCAGCTGATAATCCCATATTTTAAAATAAACAAAACAAGGCAAAAGAACCATCCCAGTTCCCTAAAAAAATTTACAGCATAAGTGGGCCAAATTATTCTTGAAGCAATTGCAGTTAGTACAGATTTATACCACTATCATTATGATCCAACTTTATCTCCCGAATTGTACTTTTTTAGGATAAACCACTTGCCCCTGAAAACTCTGTGAAATTGTAATCAAACGGTTATAATGTAGCTTCCTCCTCCTATGTGTCTCATTCTGTATCACATTTTATATATCAGTTTAAATGTATTAGGTTTGAATCTCCTCTCACACCACTGTTACAAGGGTACAGTATAACTCCACTGACTACAGGGAGTTATTCCTAATTTACATTGGTGTCTGTGTGATCAGACTCAGTCCCAGTGTTTCTTACAACACAATAATGTATTCTGTGCCAAATTCTGTGTTGGAACAGCTCCATTGAAGTCAATAGCGATAAACCAGAAAAGATTTCATCCCTCTGACTTCTATTTTCTGTGATGCTATTTGATAACATTTGCACTGGGAGGTTTGTTTGCACAACCTTTTTACTGACCTGCTAAAGAGCATTTTTGTCCATTAATGCATAACATAAGGCAATACATATGATGCATAGGGAAGAAGGCCAAAAATGAAAAAAAATCTGAATATTCAGCAGAAACAGAGTTTACTGAACCTCAGGTTCCCTTCATCCTTTAGTCAAGCCAGTGCTTTCTTTAACAACTAGCCCTGTTAGAGCTGATCTCAAATTCCTCACTCAGGTAAAACTCCCAGTGTGAGTTTTGATAAGCTCAGGAGTGTGGAGTCAGACACATTATTTGCACAATCTCCAAACAATTAAGTGAGGAAATCGAGGAAAACAGAGATGAAAAATCCTCTATTTCATCTCATGCAATCTATTATCACTGCATGATTATTCCCCACCATACATTTTCCTGCATTTTAACAAAAAATCAGATAAGAATAAAAGTAAAACAAAAATCAACAAATTAAGGCCCAGAAAAAGTCTTCCTATTAATTTCAGTTTTAAAATAATAATTTGCTTTGATTTGTAATGATCAAACAGATGAATCCTGCAGTGGGAGTTCTGCCTGAGTGAGGATTGTGGTATCTGTTCCTCAGGCCCTGATCCTGCAAAGACTTATAGAGGTATTTAATTTTACTACCATGAGCAGTTCCATTGATTTCAATGGGACTGCTCATAGTAGTAAAGTTAAGCACCTGTGTAAGTGTTTTCAGGATTGGGGCCTTATTCATTATTTTTCATAAGGAGAAATACAGAGAGATTTATTTATTCAGATTTATTCAGGTTTAATTTAGTATGAAGTCATCTAATCTTTCAGTGTAGCTGAACAGCCACTCACAATGAGAACATTATTGTGTATATTGTATTATTTCAAAATTATTTCATGTTTAAATGTATCCGAAACAGAGGTAGAAAAATAGTACAATGAGCAGTCTCAGCTACATCATAATTTTGAAACTTCTTATCTATCTGTGCCAACAGAGGAGCCCTAAGTTAGGGCTAGATTTCATCCTCATTTACACTGACATAAGTCCATAATAACATCATGGAAGGCAGTTAGTATGGATTTATATTGATGTAACTGAGAACAGAATTTGACCCATATTTATTTTGACTAGGGCTGTCGATTAATCACAGTTAACTCACACGATTTACTCAAAAATATTAATTGCGATTCATTGCAGTTTTAATCACTCTGTTAAACAATAGAATACCAATTGAAATTTATTAACTATTTTGGATGTTTTTCTATATTTTCATATAGTATTCTGTGTTGTAATTGAAATAAAATTGTATATTGTTTATTACAAATATTTGCACTGTAAAAATGATAAACAAAAGAAATAGTATTTTTCAATTCACCTCATGCAAGTACTGTAGTGCAATCTCTTTGTCGTGAAAGTGCAACTTACAAATGTAGATTTTTTTTTGTTACATAACTTCACTCAAAACCAAAACAGTGTCAAACTTCAGAGCCTACGAGTCCACTCAGTCCTACTTCTTGTTCAGCCAATCGCTAAGACAAACAAGTTTGTTTTCATTTACAGGAGATAATGCTGCTCACTTCTTATTTACAATGTTACCTGAAAGTGAGAACAGGCATTTGCATGGCACTTTTGCAAGGTATTTACGTGCCAGATATGCTAAACATTCGTAGGCCCCTTCATGCTTCGACCACCTTTCCAGAGGACATGCTTCCATGCTGATGATGCGCGTTAAAAAAATAATGTGTTAATTAAATTTGTGACTGAACTCCTTGGGGGAGAATTGTATGTCCCCCGTTCTATTTTACCTGCATTCTGCCACATATTTCATGTTATAGCAGTCTCGAATGATGACCCAGCACATTTTCATTTTAAAAACACTTTCACTGCAGATTTGACAAAACGCAAAGAAGGTAGCAATGTGAGATTTCTAAAGATAGCTACAGCACTCGACCCAAGGTTTAAGAATCTGAAGTGCCTTCCAAAATCTGAGAGGGACGAGGTGTGGAGCATGCTTTCAGAAGTCTTAAAAGAGCAACACTCCGATGCAGAAACTACAGAACCCGAACCACCAAAAAAGAAAATCAAGCTTCTGCTGGTGGCATCTGACTCAGATAATAAAAATGAACATGCATCAGTTCACACTGCTTTGGATTGTACGTAGCCTGGACGTATGTAGCCTGGAATGGTGGTTGAAGCATGAAGAGAGGACATATGAATCTTTAGTGCGACGCTGGCTACAACAGTGCCATGAGAACATCTGTTCTCACTTTCAGGTGACATTGTAAACAAGAAGCGGGCAGCATTATCTTCTGCAAATGTAAACAAACTTGTTTGTCTGAGCGATTGGCTGAACAAGAAGTAGGACTGAGTGGACTTGCAGGCTCTAAAATTTTACATTGTTTTATTTTTGAATGCAGTTTTTTTTCTACATAATTCTACATTTGTAAGTTCAACTTTCATGATAAAGAGATTGCACTACAGTACTGGTATTAGGTGAATTGAAAAATACTATTTCTTTTGTTTTGTACAGTACAAATACTTGTAATCAAAAATATATATAAAGTGAGCACTGTACACTTTGTATTCTGTGTTGTAATTGAAATAGGTATATTTGAAAATGTAGAAAACATCCAAAAATATTTAAATAAATGGTATTCATAGAATCATAGAACTGGAAGGGACCTCGAGAGGTCAGCTAGTCCAGTCCCCTGCACTCAAGGCAGGACAAAGTATTATCTAGACCAGTGGATCTCAAACTTTTTTCTGGTGACCCCTTTCACATAGCAAGCCTCTGAGTGTGACCCCCCCTTATAAATTAAAAACACTTTTAAATATATTTAACACTATTATAAAGGTGGAGGCAAAGCGGGGTTTGGGGTGGAGGTTGACATCTTGCGACGCCCCCATGAATAGCCTTGCGACCCCCTGAGGGGTCCCGACCCCCAGTTTGAGAACCCCTGATCTAGCCCATCCCTGACACGTGTTTGTCCAACCTGCTCTTAAAAATCCCCAATGATGGAGATTCCACAACCTCCCTAGGCAATTTATTCTCGTGTTTAACCACTCTGACAGGAAGTTTTTCTTAATGTCCAACCTAAATCACCCTTGCTGCAATTTAAGCCCATTGCTTCTTGTCCTATCCTCAGAGGTTAAGAAGAACAATTTTTCTTCCTCCTCCTTGTAACAGCCTTTTATGTACTTGAACACTGTTGTCATGTCCCCTCTCAGTCTTCTCTTCTCCAGACTAAACAAACCCAATTTTTTCAATCTTCCCTTATAGGTCATGTTTTCTAGATCTTTAATCATTTTTGTTGCTCTTCTCTGGACTTTCTCCAATTTATCCACATCTTTCCTGAAATGTGGCGCCCAGAACTGGACACAATACTCAAATTAAGGCCTAATCAGCGCCGAGTAGAGAGGAAGAATTACTTCTCGTGTCTTGCTTATAATACTCCTGTTAATACATCCCAGAATGATGTTTGGTTTTTTTTGCAACAGCATTACACAGTTGACTCATATTTAGGTTGTGATCCACTATGACCCCCAGATCCCTTTCTGCAGTACTCCTTCCTAGGCAGTCATTTATTTCCTATTTTGTATGTGTACAACTGATTGTTCCTTCCTAAGTGGAGTACTTTGCATTTGTCCTTATTGAATTTCATCCT